ACCCCCCGGAAAAAACAAACCCTAAAACAACAACAGCAACAACAACAAAACTCATAGGCTGTCCTGAGGGGAAGGACACAACCTGTATTCCCAACAGGGTGACCATAATTTGGAAATAAGTGATCATCTTAGTCGTTATTTTAATAAAGGCAAGCGGAAATATCACAGGAACCCGCATCTAAATGATGGCATTGTAAGTGCTTGTTTCCCACATCACTAAGCTGTCAGAGAAACAGTGAGAAGAATGTGGCAAAAAACCATTTTAATGTTAGTTTTAGTAGAGGTTTTACGACACTCGCAACTGCATAAGGTCATATGAGTGCCAGAAGATTAGAGGTGTTACCAGAGAGTAACAAACATAAAAAAGAAGAAGGGGAGATAAGGACGATAGATCTTTGATAGGAAAGAAGAAGCAAACCACACAAGAGCACCCGCCAACCACCCACACCTTTTTAATAACATGTGAGGCAGCGTGATGAAATCAGGCGCTCGTTAAAATAATGAAAGTGAAGAAAATGGCATTTTTTTCCACAGGTTTGGGAATTTTTATCGAATTGTAATTTTTAGTAGCTCAACTCCTTCAAGCCCATTTAAAAACACATTTCTATGTGCATTTTACCGGAAAATATTGATTAAAGGAATATAAAAAATTTTAATGTAACTTTTCAGTTTTCACGGGCTCTCGGGTTAAGGAAATAATTAAACTCTGGCGGCCATTTTCTCGCTTATTGTACCTCTGAAGCCAGGCGACCTCTACCTCCTTCCCTTGCCAAAATCTCGACTTGTATCCAAAATAAATGGAGTTTTTTTTGTTTGTTTTTTGGTTTGTTAAAAGCAAGACAGATGGACAGGCTTCAAGATGTTACCAATAACTCCCTATATGGCAAAAAAGTGACGAGAGCCTGATTCCACCTCGCCGTGACACATATTATGTGTGTTGCCACACGGCGGAAATGGCGCTCGTCGTAACAAAGAAATCGAACGAAAACAGCATTTTTTTCTGCCGGTTTGGCAATTCTTTCAGATCTTTTTTTTTTCTTTCTTGGCAAAACATCTCATATATCAATTGAAAAAAACAACAACAACATGTTTCTGTGTGGATTTTACTGAAAGACGTTGATTAAAGTCACAACAAGTCTTAGTGTAGATTTTTCAGTTTCTTGGGACTCTCAAACCATGGAAGTTACAAAACTTTGGCGTCCATTTGCTAGCTAATTTTTCCTCTGAAAACAAGCGATCCCTATCTTCTTCAATCGCAAATATCTCGATTTCTGTTCAAGGTAGATAGGTATTATTTCAAATAAAGCAAGATACATATACATGAACAAACTTTATGATGACATCAATAACTCCACGTGTCCAACAAGTGACGAAGGCCTGATTCCACCGGGATATGAAACATTTGTGAGGCATCGTTGGGAAAGCAGGCGCTCGTCAAGATAATGAAATCGAAGTCATCGGCATTTTCCCTCCAGTTTGACAATTTTTAGCTAATTTTTGTATTTTTGCTCAGCTCCTTTTATGTCAATTTAAAAACATGTTTCTGTGTGGATTTTCCTGAAAAAAAAATGGATTAAAGGCACAACAAATGTGAATTTTCAGTTTCCAAGGACTCTCAAGCTTTGGAAACCATTAAAATTTGGGCCATTTTCTCGCTAATTTAAATTTGAAAATCAGGAGACCCTGATTCAAACGCATATCTCGACTTCTATTCAAGGTAGATAGGTATTTTTCCCCCTCAAAAGTACGACAAATGAACAAACTTTAAGGCGATACTAATATTTCCACTTCCACATGTCCAAAAAGTGATTTCCCCCGGGCCAGTGCCACTGACTGTGTTGTCTTTAGGCCATTCCCCCAAAAAGGGCGGGG